AAAATTTTTTATGAATTTCTAGCTTAAAATAATTTGCGAATTTTCGTGATTTTTACGTATGTTGTCAAAATTCAAAATTTGAATGCTTATAAAAAAAAATTGTGCCTGTATATATCTTTTATTTTTCAACTGCTATTGTAAAAATATGTAAGGAGCCTTGTATTTAATTTTCAAATCTTAGATGATTAAAAAAGAAAAACTTTTATGAATTTTCTAGCTTAAAATAATTTGCGAATTTTCGTGATTTTTACGTATGTTGTCAAAACTAAAATTTGATTGCTTGTAAAAAAAAATTATGACTATAATATATTTCTTTTATTTTTCAACTGTTATTGTAAAAATATTTTCGGAGCCTTGTATTAAATTTTCAAATCTTGGATATAAAAGGAAAATTTTTTATGAATTTCTAGATTTTTACAATTGTCAAAATTAAAATTCGAATGCATGTAAAAAAAAATTGTGACCATGTATTTCTTTTATTTTGCAACTGCTATTGTAAAAATATGTTAGTAGCCTTGTATTAAATTTTCAAATCTAATATATTTTTACAATAGCAGTTGAAAAATAAAAGAAATATATAGTCACAAATTTTTTTTATAAGCATTTACAGTTCAAAATTTGACTAAATACATAATACATATGCAAATTATTTTAAGCTAGAAATTCATAAAAAATTTTCTTTTTAAATCTAACATTTGAAAATTTTTAATAATCTATAATATACCCTAGACAGATAAACCATCTCCGTTCAGAATCGTTTTTCGTATACAATGATACCTATCATTGCATTCAAATTTAACCTACCCTARTCAGAKGTCCACCCCACCCCCTAATGTACAGTAGAGCGATACCCACTTATCCGCTTTTTTTTCAATTAAGATGCATTTTGCATAAGGCATGGTTAATCAATTTTTCCAAAAACATTGCATATGTAGTTATCATAGTTCATACATAGTTCATAATACCTTATATTATCATAGATATACATATACCTGGTTTGAGGATAAATCGTTATCATTACGCTATTTCGTAAAAATTTAAAATTCAAACGCACTTAAAATTTTTCCTATAATGATGCTTCCAGATTTCTCTATAACTAATTGAAGGAAAACTTTTGGAAAACTTAGTGTTGTATTTTTAATCCTTAGTTATAAACACAAAATTTTTTATGATTTTTCAATTTCAAAATTACTTGCAAATTTTCGCGTTTACGACAGATTTCGTAAAAATTTGAACTATAAACGCTTATAAAAAAAAATTGTGACTAACGATTATTAATTTTATTTAGCTACAATAAGAAAAACTCATAAGGAACCTTGTATTAAGTTTTCA